TGTGCCCTTAGGGTGTGCCTAGTTTACTAAAGTTATGGTACCACGAGTGTTGCAGGGTATTTCAGGATCGTCTTGTTAACAATGAGGACAGGACTTGGTTTGAGACCATGGTCAGATCAAAGATGTCTGACTTCAGCGTCGATCCCAAAGAAGTGCTCAGCAACGACACCATATTGTATGGGGACTTTATGAACCCTAATGCCGACCCTAAAATATATGAGGAAATTAACGATGTTTCAAAAGTGAGCCTTTGAAACTAATTTATTGAATCAATGAAGTACAGTACATAGTACAAGTGTACAATGTTAAACTCATAATTAAAAAATTAATAAATCAATTTTATTTTTATTTTATTTATTATCAGGCCACTCGTATTATGGAGGAGTTTCTTGACGATTACAATCAGGTGAACACTGCTCAGATGAAACTGGTTCTGTTTCTTGACGCAATCAAACACGTCACCAGAATATCACGTATCATACGTCAGCCTTTGGGTAATGCCCTTTTACTCGGAGTCGGGGGGAGTGGCCGCCAGAGTCTAACCAGACTGTCGGCTCACATGTAAGATATACATGTACATGTACTATTGTAAATATTAATATTACAATTTCAGTAGAGCTAATGTATAATCATTTTTATGTACAGGGCTGAGTATGAGTGTTTCCAGATTGAGTTGTCCAAGAACTATGGCATTGCTGAATGGAGGGAGGACATTAAGAACTGTATGAAGAAGGCTGGCCTTGAGAATATACCAGTTGTATTCCTCTTCAGTGACACTCAAGTGAGCCCATCCTTTACCATTAGTTATTGCATATACACATTTATAGATCAAAAGTGAATCATTTCTTGAAGATATCAACAATATTCTTAACTCTGGTGACGTTCCTAACATATATCCATTTGAGGATCTTGATGCTATATATTACGGGATGAAACCAGTAGTCCTTGATGCTGGTTTGCAACCAACAAAGACCAACCTCTTCTCTGCCTACACCAAGAGAGTCAGGAACAACATTCACATTGTTATATGCATGAGGTTAGCACTTGTAGAATTACCGTAGGTGATAGTACATACATGTATAAAATAATTGTACATTTACATTTAGATACATGTAGAATTACTGTAGGCTTTTATTATGTTATTTTTATTATTTCTTTTTGGTAATAGTCCTATTGGTGAGGTATTCAGGTCAAGACTAAGACAGTTCCCTTCGTTAGTGAATTGTTGTACTATCGACTGGTTTAGTGAATGGCCTGATGAGGCTCTTCATTCAGTCGCTAAAAACTTTTTAAATGAAATAACAGAGATTGAGGACCCTGCAATCATTGATGGTTTGGTTAAATCTTGTGTTGCCATTCATCAGTCTGTGGCTAAGAAATCTATACAATTCCTGGCAGAGCTTTCGCGTCACAATTATGTGACACCGACGAGTTACCTTGAACTGTTGGGTACATTCAGTAAACTGTTAAGAATGAAAATTAATGAAGTTAGTTCACAAAGGAATAGAACAAAAACTGGACTGGATAAGGTAAGAGAAAGAGAGGGGAAGAGAGACAAATACATGTATACATGTATGTACATGTACATGTACATGTACATGTACTTGTATGAATGTCTATTC